AATAAAGAGAGAGAGAGAGAGAGAGTGAGAGAGAAAGAGAAAGAGAGAGAGAGAGAGAGAGAGAATAGTTCGAGATGCGTGGCTTCAGCGTTCGCTCGTACGTAGCCGTATAGAGCGCCCCTCTCACTGCTTCGCCGCGCACCTAGCAACGCCTGAGTAGGAAGTCTCTTCTCGCCGCGCGCTTGTGTAAGGAATGGATTGGCCCATTTTTTTAAATTAATTTCTTAATAATTATTACGAAAATCGCAAAATGGTAAAGGACTTTTCTTCTCGGTTTCATGTGCTCTACCTGCACATGGCGGGTGATCCGCGAATTATGGGACACCCTGTATAGTTACAATATAAAAAAAATATTTTAAAAATCACTTGATCCCCCAAAATTAACAAATAATTGCCAAACAATTTTACTCAGTTTAAAAGTATTGTTGCGTCCGCGCGTCGACTTCGATAATACTCGAACACGCGCGACACAAACGGCACTTGCGTACCGCGACGTAAATGATTAAAACTCTTTTAAAGGAACAAAAGGAACTTTAATAATAACACAGACCACATAATTGAACAAGGAACACAGAACGGGTAATAACGGTAATCATATCTCAAATATGTCCGCCCGGAATGACATCCGTCGCGAGACTCAAGATGGCCGACCTCTCCCCAGATGTCCGACGTTGTTTAACAACAACGCTTAGCAACGTTCTTCCGGAGACGAATACAGCAAATTCATGAATAACCACCTTAGACGACCCGCAGGGACGCAACAGTATATTTAGAATTAGCATACATTTATTTGGTAATACTTCACAGTCTTGAACATCTTTGGTAATATTTAACATATTCTTCTTGCACGTAACTTAATATTAACTTAATATTGCATTTGATCCAAGTAGTACAACACAAAATTATAAAATGAAACTAAAAATAAAACAAAATTATAATTATAATTATTAAATAAAGATCACTATTATAGATACTATATATTAATTTATCATTATTATAAAAATATAGGGCGGATCACATTTGGCAAAGAAGTACTCGCAGTACTTCATCGAATTCTCTAGGAACTATGACATCACAGAGATTATTCGTTGAGATAAGTAGGCAATAGGTTTTTCATCATTATTGTAAGTTTCTCAAAAACTCTTATCCGTTCACTATCATTAACAGCTTGTACAGCAGCAGTATCTGCCAACTTTTGTATGGCATGTGCAATTTCAGTCATTGCAAGCGCATGCATTCTAAATGCCTCTGCTTGAACTTTGGCAGATTCAGCATGTGTCTGCAAACATTTGAATATATTTTATGAATTATCTACATAATTTGTTTTTAAAAAATCATATATTTTACGCCAATTGAAGAGTTACTTACAAACGCAGCATCGGCCTGCTTCTGAGCAATGGACTGGAAGTTCTCCCTTGAGGAATATAATTTTTCGGACGGTGTAACTCGATTAACTACAAATAATTGAGAAATCAAAAATATAAATATAAAAGAAACAAACAGAAACATAAACATAAATTTAAATATATAAAAAATTTGAAAAACAATTTTAAAAATTATAATCTAGAGTAAGATTTTAGCTTTACATTTTCTCGATGAAGTGGGCGCATTAATGTTTTGTGAAGAACTACTTGATTCTTCTGCAGGCTTTGATGTTGGAAATGAGTACGGGGTTTTTCTTTTCCTAAAAGATGGAATAGCAGTCTTTGGAGCCTTTCTCGATTCGCAATTAGCGAGAATCTGTGTAGCATCAGAATCTCTATTTTCATTTATATTTTCATTATGTTCTAGTGAAGAATCCTCATAGAAAATTAAATCATTGTCATTGTTATCTTCGGAATTAGCTGCAAACAAAAGAATATGTATATTATGCATTATATTGTATATGCATAAGAATATGTATTACAACTTATCAATTTATAGAATCTATTTATAATTTAATTTATCTGGAATTTACTTATTATTATTATTATTTCTTACCATTTAAATACTGCGAATCTTGAGAAATTTCGTTTGGGGTATCTGTGCAAACACTTATTATTTGTGGAGTCTCTGACAAAACTGAAGTATTTCCTTGTTCAAGTTCTTCCAGCAAATTCTATATACACGGATAATAAGTACATTTGTAAAAATACTGCTTCCATCGAAAGAATATGTTGCGACAAATATCGTGACTTTAAAAGTTTATAAACATTACCTCCTCATCAGAGATACTTTCTGCGCAATATTTACTTCCTTCGACATACTCGGCTCCTATTATTCCAATCACACGTAGCTCAAGTTCAGTCAGTTCAGGTTGCATGATAGCTTTATTGCCTGTTAACCCCTTTGCCGTCCGCAAATCTTTTGCTTTTATTGCCCCGAATATATTGATCTACCCCTGATCATATTGGCCATTTAAATATTAAGAAGAAGAAGTAGCTCAAGTTCAGCCAGTTCAGGTTGCATGATAGCTTTATTGCCCGTTAACCCCTTTGCCTTCCGCAAATCTTTTGCTTTTATTGAAGTGCGACTTTTAAAGTCCCTCCAAACCTTAAACATATAAATAAACCCACATGTTATACAGAAGATTTTGTGCATAAGCACTAATATTAATTAGAATAAGAATTAGAAATATTCCCAGTAAATGTTACATAATATAATGATATACATATATATTATTAGGTATGTTATAGAAATATTTTATATTATTAGATATGTTATATAAATATTTTATATTATTAAATATATTATAGGAATTATACTATTAGATATATTTTAGAACATATTTAAATATATGTGCATGCATATATTCATACCACTTGCCACTGTTCAACCGTTTTTGTCGCTCCTTGAAAAGAATTCAATTCATTTACTAATTCTGTCCACTCTTTCTGAGCTTCTTCTCTTCCATGTAGAGCATTAAATTTTCCTTCCGCAAGACCCTTGTTTAAATAAAAATAATCTATCATTTTTGTTAACTGTAAATGTGATGCCCTTGCAGTTCTTGTTTTTTTTTGTTGTGAAATAAAAGTCTCTCATTAAATTTTATCATATGTAATTTGTATATTGTATATATTTTATATTTATCACAATACATACTTATAGATATGTGACATTTTCCAATTGATGAAGTTGTTGTGTTTGCACTTTGTTAAAATTAAAAATCACAAACTAATCTGTAAGAGATTAAGCGAGAAAGCAAAGCTAAATATTCTTTCCGAAAGAAAAATTGTTCCATATTTTCCGGAAAGATGTAAGGATGATGGACTTATTATAAACATATAATACAACCACTATATATGGTACACTATATACACTATATTTATTTACAACAATCTTGCTCGACAACAAGAATTTTATTCTTCTCCGCGAGACACATTCGACAGCGGCTATTCTCTCTCGCTTCCCACCAACGATAACTCAACCCAGAGTTACCACAATGCTAAGGCGTTCATAAATTTTCTCAAAAGTGACTAGATTTTAACTGTTTAAAATCTGACAACGTTGCACATCTATCGAATTATTTCGATGCATCTGTAATTTTGCATCGATTATAATCGTTAAGGCCACGTTACAGAATCACCTACAATTACGATCGTCGAGCGCGCAAGCGACAATTGTCGGTAGCTAACGATACCGATTGTAGTCGGTAAAGAGTTACAGAATCCCGCTACTGATTTAAAACTAAGGGTGCGTTCCGTTTCTCGCATGATGCGCATAGGAGCGCACGAGATCGTTCCGTTTCAATCCATGCGCAATTCATGCGCGCATGGGAACGGTCTCCCACCACAACGCCGCGCCATGTTGTGCAGCGCATGAGAGCGCATGAGCTGCCTCAGCTCCCGAGGTGTAGTCCATGCGTGGTCCATGCGCGAGAGTTATTTAGGCGGGAAGGAAACTATCTGCAAAGTGGTACAAATTATAGGATCCCGTAATTCATAAAAAATGACTTTGAAGAAGCTACAAATTTATGTTGATGATAAATTGTGGATGTTCGACGTGTCCGATACTGAATAAAACTCCAAATCTAAATATATGTACACGTAGGCGGACACAACGGCGCGGCCCCTACAAAGCCTGCAAAGAATTCGGTTAATGCGTTCATCGATAAATGATCATGTATCACTTTCTATCTACGAGATCGACGCATTTCGAGATTTTGTCTAAAATTCCATTGCTTTCCATAAATATTAAAAATTGTATTAAAAAGACATTTATACTCAGACAGCACGAAAAGGCCAAAAGACATCTTGATAATATTTAAAGAACGATAAGACATCTTTAAATCGTTTTTTAGACGTCTTTTAGGAATATGTGAGGGGGGCGGAACCCACTGTGTTCATGCATATACTTTACAACGCGAAGCGAGGTCCTGCCCACAATTGTTGTGTGGATGGGAAAGTGTATGCGTGGACACAGTGGGTTTCGCCCTCCCTACGGGGGGCTCCTCGTCCGGAAGATATAACCTAACCCAAACCAAATTTTAGTTTTAATTCAAAAATAGGTTTGGGTTAGGTTATATCTTCCGGAAGTGGAACCCCTCCGTAGGGGGGGGGGGCGGACCCCACTGCGTCCACCCATACACTTTCCCATCCACACAACAATTGTGGGCAGGACCTCGCTTCGCGTTGTAAAGTATATACATGAACACAGTGGGTTCCGCCCCCCACCCCCTACGGGGGGCTCACTTCCGGAAGATATAACCTAACCCAAACCTATCTCTGATTTAAAACTAGACCTTGCTTCGCGCAGAAAGTTGCAAATTCATGTAATAAAATGGTATAACTATAAATCTTGTTTAAGTAATCAAAACTTTTCTTTACTAACCGAGCGACGGAAAAGATCAATGACCTTGACTATCTTAGAAGTCAAGATCAACGTCAAGGTCAACCAGAAGTCATTTGGGATGGAGTGTGTAAAGGTAAACATTTATCAAATTATGTTTTATTCAGTAAACTTTTTTGTTAATAACTTTTTAATAAACAACGAGCGACGTTTAAAACTTTTTGGAGGATACCCAGGACAGTGATCCTGACAACATATGTTAAGATCAAGATCATTGGGAGTGGGTCCGTTATTATGCACTTTTACCCAAATTTTTTAACAATGTATTCTTGCAGAAAAAACGGAGACAATTTTTTTTCAACCTTACTATTGGCATGCATGTATATATAAATAGTGCAAATTGTTGATCGTTAAGAAAAAAGAAACTACATATTATAGTATGATATATATATAATCCATTTTTTTTAAACGTTATCGTATTTTTTTTTGTTACAGAATGCATTAATTGTATATAGACTAGAGATCGAACACGAATCGATATTTATACGATTATCTCTTTATTTTTCTTTAACATCCAAGGTTAATTGTGATTAGCGTTAATTTACAACGCACATAACGCACCTCGCGCGTAATTGGTAGACGCATAAATTGTTTCGAGCGATAAAAATTTTCGCGAGGAACTATATAGATAAGATCGCCGCGTGAAAGGGCATTAGCACCACGTTGAGGGAATTTGATCTTTTTTCTCCTACTCCTTATTTTTAAGGGCTGATACTAATTGCGAGCGTTGGTTATTTACAGCGTAGGTGTCACGGTTCGTGAGATGTATATTCCAATAAATCGTTGTACAATGCGGAGCGAAGTGCGGCCATGCCACACCGGTGTGTCTAGTCCAGCTCGATTTTTTTTATTCGCCACGTTATAGTCTGCGATATTAATTGTGAGCCTTGTTGATTTATATAAGCATCCATAAGCTCCGCTGCGGGATGAAATACGCTGCGGATAAGCGTATGCAAGATCGCGGTACGGGATGAGAACGTAAAGACAAAGACTGAGCAAAACGTTCGTGCTCGACAATATGGTAATCATATTTCGAGTTCACAGGTGTATCGGAAGATTTGGAAAACGATTTATTACACTTACATTTATAATGTATCGTTCGACAGTAAATCGGGAATTTGTAAAATGTATTATACATTTCCATGATATTATGCAGAAATGAATTGAATTATACTTTTAAACAACTTGGACTTAAAATGTGTAGATTTTTATGTTATTTTTATTGTTATATTATTATGTTATGTTATATTATTATATAGACGTCACAATGACAATAAATTTTGGTCACGAAATGACCAATTAGACGTCCTAAGTTAGGTCTTATGACACCCGAAAATGACGTTGATATGTCACATCCACGGGACGTCATTTTCTGACGTTTGTTTGACGGCAAAATTAAGACCAATTATAGTAATAACATATAATAATACATATTAATGTGATATATATTGTTTGAGGATCCGGTGCCTGTGCGTGGAGTGAGTGCAGTGCCTGCAGTGAATCCGTCTGTGCTCTTCCGGACGTCACTCATCTGAAAGACAAAGATGAATAAGGACAAAGAACCAACGGTCCGTTTGCAGTCGGACTTATACGGACGCATTTCCCGCACATACGAGAACTTGCAGATCTACTAGACTCCCGGTCGCGCCGCGAATGGGAGACCACGATCAGCGACACGATGGAACCGCCGTCGTACGCGTAGCTGATCCAGTTTTTAGACCGACGGCTGCACACGCTCGAGTCGTTGCCGCCGAGTAAAACGGAGTTGAGTCCCGCAAAGCCGGTCGCGAGCTCCGCGCGTCCGCCGCGCGTTCTTTACGCCCGGAAGCCGGAGAGCAAGCGCGGGCGGTGTACCATGTGCCACGAAGAGCACTATATCATGTTCTGTGACGCGTTCAGAGCAAAGACGGCGTCGGAGAGAAGAAAGCACATCGAAGCCAACCAGCTGTGCTTCAACTGCCTCGAGAGGCACAAAGCTAGCGAGTGCTCGTCCAAGAAGACGTGCTCGTCGTGCGGCGAACGTCATCATTCGCTCCTCCACCACGCGGGCAACACCTCCGAGGTCGCAAGATCGTCACTCTCAGCGAACCGAAGCGCGAGAGCCGCACCGGCGGTGCTTCTCGCGACTGCGCGCGTTCGGGTGGCCGACAAGTTCGGAGTCCTGCATGCCGTACGCGCCTTGGTAGATCAGGGTTCCGAGATCTCACTCGTGGCAGAATCGCTCGCGCAGCGTCTGCAGCTAGCACGCGCACCTACTTCCATCGCCATCGTCGGCGTTGGCGGACGATCAACGGGCGCTCGGGGCCAGGTTGAGCTCGCGCTCTCGCCGCTGCGGGACGGCCCGCCCTTGCGAGTCTCGGCCTTCATCCTGGACCGACTGACGACGACCAGCGGCGGCCTCCGCGCAGACCGGCACTCCTGGCGGCACCTCGACAACCTGGAACTGGCCGACCCGGGCTTCTTCGCCGCCGACCCCGTGGAGCTTCTCCTCGGCGCTGACGTCTGCGCGGACATCCTCCAGCCAGGTCTCCGCCGCGGAGGACGCCAGCAACCTGTGGCACAAAGGACGACGTTAGGATGGATACTATCGGGCGCTGTCGGCGCCTCGACCGCCGAGCGGACCGCCCGCACCTACCACTGCAGCGGAGACGACGGCCTCCACTCCCTGGTGCAGCAGTTCTGGCAGCAGGAGGTAGCGGACGCCACCGCAGCGCCACTCACCGCCGACGAGACGGAAGCCGAAGAACACTTTGCCCAGACGCACTCGCGAGACGTAAGCGGCCGCTTCGTGGTCCGTCTTTTGATCACTCCGCCGCTGCCAGACCTCACGGGGACGAAGTTCGCTGCCGCCCGCCTGCTCGGGCAAATGGAGCGGAGATTCACCCGTGACGACCAGTTGCGACGCCTGTACTCTGCCTTCATGCAGGAGTACGAGGACCTGGGGCATATGTCCCCCGCTCGGCCGGGCACAGCAATGCCCTCCGAGTGCTTCTTGCCTCACCACGGCGTGATGCGCAAGACAAGCTCCTCAGCCAAGATCCGGGTCGTATTCAACGGCTCGTCGACCGTGGCATCTGGCGCGTGCCTCAACCAGCACCTCAAGGTGGGGCCAAACCTCCTGCCCGCCTTGGACGACGTGCTGCTGCGGTGGCGCGTGCACCGATTCGTACTGGCGAGCGACATCGAGAAGATGTATCGCAAGATACTCGTCGCTCCTGAAGACCGCCACCTGCAAAAGATTCTCTGGCGTCACGGTGACAACACGACTCCGAAGGAATACGAGTTGAACACGGTCACTTACGGCCTGGCATGCGCCCCGTTCTTGGCCATCCGCTCCCTTCGGCAGCTCACCAGCGACGAGGAGGCCCTCTTCCCCCAGGGATCAGCGGTTCTGCGCCGAGACGTCTACGTGAACGGCATCCTCACGGGCGCACCCACCATCGAGGAAGCCATGGACCTCCAGCGGCAACTAACGGAGCTGTGCACGGCGGGCGGGTTCCCGTTGAGGAAATGGTCGGCGAACGACCCCCCGCCTGCTGGATCACATCCCGGCGGAGCACCGGACTCAGCGCGACCGACTGTCCTGGACTCCACAGGAGAGTCATGCCACTCTCGGCCTCCAGTGGCACCCGGGCATCGACTGCTTCTCCTTCTCCACCAGGTCCATCGCAGTTCCAGCGTTCACGAAGCGGTCCGTCCTTTCGCTGACGGCCCGCCTATTCGACCCGCTGGGCTGGCTGGCACCGACCGTAATCTGGGCGAAGATCCGGTTCCAGTTCACCTGGCTGAAGGGCTTGGACTGGGACGCGCCACTGAGCAGCGCCGACGCAAAACTATGGAGCGAGTTCGCCGACAATCTCCCGAGACTGGAGGAGATCCGCGTCCCGCGGCACATGCTCCTCAGCGCAGCACAATCGCGAGTCGAGCTGCATGAATTCGCGGACGCGTCCGAGCGGGCCTACGCCGCCGTCGTTTATGCGCGGACGGAGACCTGCAACAGATTAATAAGCATTTCAATAATTTCAGCCAAAACTAAGGTAGCACCATTGAAGACCGTGACTCTACCTCGCTTGGAGCTCTGCGCGGCTTCTCTGCTCACGCGGCTGGTGGCGCGCGTGCCGCGGGTTCTCGGTGCCGAGGACGCGGCCGTGCACCTGTGGTCCGACTCGACCGTCGCCCTGGGCTGGATCCGCGGCCACCCGTCACGCTGAAAGACGTACGTCGCCAACCGGGTCGCCGACGTCCAGACTGCACTGCCTGGGGCCCAATGGCACTACCTCCCGGGGACGGAAAATCCCGCCGACTGCGCATCGCGAGACATCTCCCCGACCGAGCTAGTCAACCACCCGCTCTGGTGGAAGGAACCACCCTGGCTGAAGGAGGACCAGACGCCACATCAGATGAGCACCAGTCGACGGACACCCTATCGGCCTCCGAGTGCGACGAAGCTCGCCAGTCTTGGATCCGGGTGGTGAAGGCTGAAACATACCACGCAGAATTAAAAGCGCTCGCGCGGGGAGCCCCGCTATCCAACCGAAGCACCATTAACAAACTTACCCCATTCGTAGATCATCGAGGAGTCCTCAGGGTGGGCGGACGCATCAAGCACGCCCTCTTGGCTTACGACGAGCGACATCCGGTGATCCTGCCAGGCTCGTCGCACTTCACACGGCTCATCATCGAAGCCTGTCACCGGCGAACACTGCACGGCGGCGTGCAGCTTACCCTCGGGTCCATCCGACAGCAGTATTGGATACCCCGAGGGCGACAGCTGGTCAAAGAGGTGATCCGACGGTGCGTCACCTGCGTCCGATGGCGGGCGGCCTCGCAGCAGCAGATCATGGGAGATCTGCCGCGCCTCCGAGTCACTCCGGCAAGGCCGTTGATGAGGGAGGCATTCTTGGCCGCCCTGCGGCGATTCAAGCACGGCGGGGGCTCTGTCGCAGCCTGCATAGCGACTGCGGCACTAACTTCGTCGGGGCCGACGCCCAACTTCGAGCGTTATTCACCGCCAGCAGCCCGGAGCAGCGGAAAATCGCCGACCAGATGGCCAATGAGAGCATAAGGTGGTGCTTCAACCCACCGGCAGCACCCCACTTCGGCGGACTCTGGGAAGCGGCGGTGAAGTCCTTCAAACATCACCTCAGGAGAGTGCTAGGAGAATCGACACTCACCTATGAGGAGATGAGCACTCTCCTTGCGCAAATCGAGGCCTGTCTCAACTCCAGGCCGCTGCAGGCGATGTCCGACGACCCTGACGACTTGGCGGCATTGACTCCGGGGCACTTCCTCGTGGGAGCAGCGCTCAACGCCATCCCAGAGGCCAGCTCCCTGGACGTGCCGCTCGGCCGCCTCTCACGCTGGCAACTGCTCCAGAGGATGCGCGACCACTTCTGGGACAGGTGGTCGCAGGAATACCTCCACACACTGCTCCAACGACCCAAATGGTGGGCCACCAACGAGGAAGTGCGCGTCGGGCGACTCTGCCTCATCCGGAGCGACAACGCGCCGCCGACACGATGGCCTCTCGCCCGGATCGCGAGCGTACACCCGGGAGCCGACGGGCGGATCCGTGTGGTCACCCTCCGCACCGCGTCATCCGAACTGACGCGCCCGATCGCGAAGATCGTCCTCCTGCCGGAAAGCCGCTCCGACGAGCGGGAGAACGAGCCCGCACACCGCGTGTAACGGGTCCGCCGCCGGGCTGCAAAAAAAAACACATCTCGGTGTTAATAAATTTTCCGCGAACACCAAGAGAACATAATACTATCTCAGAATTCGCGTGGATTCGTACCTTTGATCTGAATGCTTGACAATTTTTTTACAAGATGCGTTGTTATTTACAATTTATGCGATTTATAGGAACTATAGCACTGCGCACAAAGATGCAACAAAATTATATATAAATTAATTTTTTATACGATTTTCTGTTAAATCTCCTTGTAAAACATGTGTGCTGTAAAAACAATCGATGCAATATTTACTCATCGCTGGAGTTTAAATGTTCGAAATTAAGAATTTGTAACTTAATTGCATTTTCAAAAAATTCTTTATTTTTTCGATTAATTTTAATCTAGAAACTATTTGTGCTACGGGAATCAAAAATTACCTGGCATTCTTTGTAGCCTCTCGCAGCGTCGATCAGCTGTGCCGTTTCAGCTCGCGCTCCCGCGTCTCGCCCCCCGCGTCCACGCGCCAGGAGTGGAATTCGGCGTCACGCAGATCACGTAAGGCTAGGCGAGCCCCGCGCTGCTTCTCCTGCGCATATATTATAGGTAAATTTAAATAATTTAATTTATAAAATTAAAGATTTTATTTATATGGAAGTTAATTTCTGTTTTATATTTTAAGCAGATAATAACAAACGATTTTCACTTATTCGGATAAAAATTGTCCGAATAAATTAAAATCGGATATTATCTACCCGATTTTCCAAAAATCAGTTCAATATCTGAATTTTCTGGTACGGGAATCGTATTAGAAATTAAACTGATGAAAATAATTACAATGTTATTAGCCGCATTTTGCAAGCTTGTATACGCTCATGACAAAAACTTGAATACGGGTATAGATAGTGAATAGCGCACCGCATAGCAGTAAGCAAATAAACTATAATTCCAATATTAGTTACAAAAGGACTTTATTTGAACGATCATAGGACGTCTTCAAAATTTCGTCTTTGGCTAGTCTAAAAAATGAGATCTTTTAAATGTCAATTATTAGTCGTCGACATTATAGATCAAAAATAGACGTCATTATGTTGTCTTTGGACGTTACTCTGGTATTTGGGCTGGTACATTACATGTTACTTCTATGTACGTTTACACGGCAACGTTACCCAGTAAACACAAAGTAACAGTAATATAACATCAATGTTATAATTTCCCACTCAACAATGTAACTGCAATATAACATGCCTTGTACGTAACAGTTACATTGTTGAGTGGGAAATTATAACATTAATGTAATGTTACTGTTACTTTGTGTTTACTGGGTAATCTGGTTTAGTAACAATCGTAGTTATAACTCTTTAAAAGTGATGTCCGTTTACACGCATGGATTTATTTCATCAGTTTCCCTTAGTAAAGTGAGTTATAATTTGTAGCATTGTTGCCAATTTAAAGCAATGAAAATTAGCTGAATTGGGGTCCGGATTTATAAATAAAGCACAAAGTGACAACAACAAAGCACGAAACTGGCGCGGCCTTTCAGCCCGCGCTTTTTCGATCGGAGAGGGACCCGGCGGACGCGCGCGAGACGGCAACGTCACAATGTATATGAAAATTTTAAATTATGTGAAAGTGAAAAGATAAATATAATAAATACTTGTGTTGCAACATATTCTACAAACATAAAATATATGTTGATGCAATTCATAACACAATTTTTACATATATTAGATAAGCGACGAAGATATTTAGTAGAAGTTATATTGCTGCACTTATTAAATAAAACTCGACCTAATCAATTGCTTGATATTGGACCCGTTTTGCGACTCTTACAAGAAAGAACCATATGGATGAGAAAAAGAAGTAAAGATTGGTGGGAACGAATTGTTAATAATTATTTTAAAGAGGAAGATTGGTTGGATTCATTTCGTATGAGAAAATGTACATTTTTGTGGTTATGCGATCAATTAAAAAATGAACTTGCACCATCTGTATATCAATCAGGCTTTAGAGAGCCGATGTCAATAGAAAAACAAGTTGCTGTATGTCTATATTTTTTATCGAGTTGTTGTGAATATCGTGTGGTAGGTAATGTTTTTGGGATCCATAAGTCCACTGTTTGGAAATGTGTACATAAGGTTGTTGATGCAATTAATACAAAACTAATGCATCAATGGATATTTATGCCCGATAATGATGCGTGTCAACAAATAGCTGCATTATTTGAAAAAAGACTAATATATCCCACAATTAATTGGAGCAATCGACGGATCTTATATTCCAATTTTACCTCCTAGCGATGGATATAAAAATTATATTAATCGCAAAGGATGGCCTTCAGTGATACTACAAGCAGTTGTTGATAATACTTATAAGTATGTATCAAAAAACAATACAACATACAAGAACTATTCCTGTTCATATAATTGTTACTTTGCATAAATATGCAATACGAAATTAATAGAAATTTTTTTTCAGATTTCGTAATATTTTTTGTGGAGCACCAGGAGCCTGTCATGATGCTGCCCACACGGAACATGACATCCATTGGACGTCCATATAATCTCCATAACTCCATGCGACATCTATCTCTACAGTGGATATTGTATAGATTTCTAATAGAAATCCATATTATCTCCATGGTAGATGTCGTATATAAATCCATCATGGATGTCCATGAGACATCTGTTATGGATGTATGATAGATTTATACAAGTATGTTTCTAATAAAACAAAATTTAATTTTTAGGTAAATGTTCAGATTAACTTACACCTCACGGATCGTTTTTATTTCCACATATATTATAGTGGGCATATTCCTAAGTAATACGCACTTCGAATTTTGTGGCGCTCTCTTCTGGTTCCAGAGATATGCAATTTTAAAGTTTCACAGTTTTAATGCTTTTTTTGTTATAAAATAAGAATTTTTCTGTTATAAAATAAGAAAAAATAAAGTTTGTTTACGTTGTATTTGTGTAAAGCAGACGTGGAAAAAGTGTTTATTTACATTTCTGGAAACGAAGCTCCTTGAATTTTTCTATTTTCCACGCGGAGCGAATATATGCAAAAATGAAAATGATCCGTGAGGTGTAAGTTAATCTGAACATTTACCTATTTTATTTTTCATTTATATATTGTACAATTTAAATTTTTATTTAAATTTTTTACTAAACTCTAAAATATAATTAAGAAAATTTTAATGCAAAATAAACAATTTTTTTTCATACTAAATTTTTTAAACAATCCATAATATATAATGTCATCAATTTATTATTAAACAAAGAAAATTCTTAATTTATAGATTAAAATTAGAGATAACTGTAATTATTCATATTATATTCCTCACAGCACTTCAACATCCCAATGAAATTACACCTTAAATTGTAATATGGTACAACATTCTACGGAAATTAATAAACCTGCCATTAACTTTTAGTAACTTGAAAATTCGTCTAAATTTATTCCATTAGCAGCCCAGGGACCTTGCGCGTAACGTTTTATTAATATCCATACAACATGCTAGAAAAAAAACTTAATCTCTGTAATATATTTCGTTTGTCCTTTTTATACAGAAGACAGGGGACACTCGCGCGGGTGACACCCGTTTGGACACGGAACGATTGGACACCGCTCGATTGGACACTGCACGATTGGACACCGTACGATTGGACACTGCATGATTGGACACAGAATGATTGGACACCGCACGATTGGACACTGCACGATTGGACACCGCAATTATTGGACATTGCACGATTGGACACCGCACGATTGAACACTGCACGATTGGACACAGTAGGTTCCGACCCCCCTTCGGGGGGGCTCCACTATCGAAAAACTAGACACATAAATTTGCGTTGAACCTCGCTTCGCGTGGAAAGTTGTAAACCTATGTGGAACCTTACTTCGCATTAAAAAGAATATGTGTGGAGGCTGTATGTTTCGCCCCCCCCCCTACGGGGGTCTCCACTATCAAAAAACTAGACACATAGGTTTGCGTTGAACCTCGCTTCGCGTGGAAAGTTGTAAACCTATGTAGAACCTTACTACGCATTAAAAAGTATATGCGTGGAGGCAGTATGTTCCGCCCCCCTAAGGGGGGGCTCCACTTCCGGAAGATATAACTATACAAAGTCTACGGATCTTCGTTTACAAAATTTGGTTTATCATCCAATCCGCTTTCGTCAATACAATTAACTACCTAAAACGCTACTATTATTACGTAAATGATTTGGAATGTTTTTTTTCTGTACACGCGTGAATCACCGTTTATTCGAAGTTCGTAACCGCTTTCCGGCTCTTTCCTAACGCCCCGATGTGTCGGCACAATTGCCGTCGTGTCTCGTGGATTACGATACGAGAATCTCCGTGTCGGGAATCTCACCGCGAATTCTCTAAATCGAGTTTTATTGTTGAGCAATACTCATCTGAGGTGGTGCCACGTATTCAATATCGCTTCGATTGTTCCCTCGTTGGCTCTTTCTCCTGTTCCGGGGATTTTCTGCTTCTCTTCCTCCTCACGGCCGAGAGTTTTACCGGCATAAAGCCCGTGTCACACTACGCATTGCGGACGCGGATCGGATTTGGATTACGGACTGCGAATCGTCAATCATCTAATCAGATCCTTGGCTACTTTGCTCTGATTGGATAGATGACGATTCGCAGTCCGTACTCCAAATCCGATTCGAGTCCGCAATGCGTAGTGTGACATGGACTTAAGGAGTATCCAGGCTTCCGTTAAGATATGGCGGTGTCTGTCTCCTTACAATTAGTGGTGACGTGGCCAAGATAACCGCAATGAAGTCGGAGTACTTCTTTATTCGATGTCGCCTGCGTGCGTCCCCGGAACGAAAGAGGACGAGACATCCCGAAGCTCTATTATATCGATCTACCGCGATCGATCGACATGCGCACTATTCGCTACTATTTCAGCAGATGTGGGAGTAGGCACGAGGCGCCGAAAACGGTTGATTAATTTTTCGATATCGCCTCTTACATCTCCTAATATTATTTTTAATA